AAGTCTTCCGCTGTGCTATCTTATACTTTGTATTGAAAGGTCGGTTCTTGTTCTGGTCTGCACCTATACGGTATGCAACAGCTCCACTCTGGCGATAGATCAGACGCGAAGCGTCTGCTCGAGTAAACAGGTTCAAATCCTGTAGGATAGGCAGGTCTTTGGGGTTACTATATCAAAATCCAACCTGACGGTTGCCTGGGAGTGCCTTTTCCACTCACTGATTTTTTCCAATCTTCTACAGTTTGGTCAGGGATTCCAAGCGGAATCTTGTCTGGTGGAAGTGACAATAAAAGCAGAAAAGCTGTAATTATCTATATCTATATCTATCTATACTCTTATTGAAGTGTAAGCCGGGTCTCGCGTGGCTGCCGCTATTCGGGAAGACGACAATTCCCTCCTGGGCCTGCGGTGTTGTGTGAGCCGCACGCCTTTGCCAAGTTTCAGGCGGCATGTTTGAATACAAGTACATAGCTGCGCTGTGGAGGGGACACACACCAGGGTGTTTTCTACTTCGGTCGTGATCCGGGGAAAATACATTCTGAAAAGTGGCAGAGTGTGTGGGGGTAGTTTCGGCCTTTTCGTTGTTGTTTGCCTTTTGTCCTGTTGTGGCCAAAGTGCCGGCACTTGCTTTTTGTCACGTTGTCGGCGATGACAGCTGGCATCGTCGCAGTTCAGAAGCAGCCCATTCACTGGGCTTTGGGCCTCGCTCCACTACTCACGATATGCACAAGAGACAAAAAAATGTGGGTGTATCTTCAGAACTTCTAGAGGAAGATTCATTCTCATTTTGCACATTTGGAGAGCAGTGGAGAGAGGCCCTTTCTTTGTTAACCATTTCTCTTTTTTTTTTTTTCATCGTTTTGGAGATATCATTATCAAGCAGACCGGCCCAAGGTATAGTCATTTGCTCTCAGTGGAGTTTGAACTCAGCACCTGGTCTGTATTTCAACAGTTCAGTTCAGGGGGGGTGTACCGACTGAGGTAGGCCAGTTGGTGACCGTTTCTTTTTTGGGTCACTTTTAGGGCGGGCGCGGTGTTTGCCCCTTCCCCCCGACCCCCCCCCCGTCCCTTGTTTGGCTCTTTCCTGGCCTCCCCATGTTTGAATACAAATACATAGGGGCTGCTCCACTACTCAGCACATGCAGAAATGACATAAATCATGGCGGTGCATCTTTCCATGCTCTGGCAAAAGATTCATTCTCATTATCCACAATCGGCCAGTAGTGGAGTCAGAGGCCCATAGCAAGCCCGCTTTGATGTGTCTGCAGGCCCTTCGTTTTTCTGTGGGTCGTGCATGCGGTCCATGTGGCTGTCCAGGAGCAAATGTGCAAAGTTACTCACCAAGTGTGAAAATGAGAGTACGGTACACCACGAAATCTTTTGACTTTTGTTCATGAGGTGAGTAGTGGAGCGAGGCCCTCATGACAATGAACCCTCTCCTGGAACATGGGAAGATACGCCGCCATATTTTGACAGCTCGGTACCAACTCGAGGAAGATACACTGCCATATTTCAACGGCTCGGTGCACGTACCGACTCGATATGTTATAGCTCAGGTGGTGGCTCTGCCTCCTGTTTAGTTACCTCACCGTTCCTGGATGTTCGAATACACCCTGCGTGGCATGGCCCGCCTCCATCGTTTCATCTCATCCCTGCCTCTGGGCTGCGGCTTCTCTCCGGGGCCTGACTTGTTTTGGTAATTATCTATGCACCATGTAACCACATTACCAGTCCAAGGTTTGAAGTTCCAACCGTCGTCGTTTATGAAACTCTTATACTGTCTGTCTACCTCTCAACCTAGCCGGTCCCGTCCCAATAATTAACCGCTGGAACCGAGTTAGTAATCTGTTATGGGTTGCACTGACCCAGGCAGCCCCCGCTCATTTTGAGGGAGCTCGCGCTCACCCAGGTTGATGTGGCGAGCCTTGTGCCTAAGAGGTGCAGTAAAGGGTAAGCTGAAAGAAGAAATGGCAGAGAAACCAGGAAAAGAGCCAGAAGAACAGAAGAACGAACTGCACAGAAAAGGGTGAAAGTGACGGTTTCACTGTGCCTCAGTCTGTCTGCTCTTCGTTGTAGTTGTTTCGTGAAGTGCACTCCGTTGGTTGATACTCCTACTCTTCTTTTTTCTTTTTTCTTTTTTTCTTTTCATTTTTTCTCATTTTTTCACTTTTTTAAAATCAAAGCTCCTTTCTATTGTTGAAAGATAGGTGAGCACTTGACAGTATTTATAGATAATAGATATGCAGCATTCTGTCCTTGAACAGGAGTGTGCCACTTGCAAGCGTATTGTGTTTCTTGCGTGTGATTACCAACTTTTCCTTCCCTCTCGCCATGAAGGAGAGTCAGCTTGGTGAGGTCGAACTGTGGTGAAAGGATGGTTGGGCCTCGTTGTTTGGAAGTTTCGGGATTGGTTTTCCTGAATTCTAATGAAAATTTGTGGTGTCAATATTTCTTCCTGTCATCTGCCAGCATCCTTGGCGATTCTCTGTGCGTGCTGCAATTGATCTTGAGGCAATGGGTGTGGGGGGAAGATCCATCCTCTTCCAGGTAAAGCAAGTCGAAAAAGTGTTTCGAAAGAGATCATGGCCAAAAAAATCTTATCCTTTCTGAATAATGGGGGCCAAGCATCCCGTTATGATGCACACATGTTGCGGTCCCTCAGGCAGGTCTCTGTGATACTGTGTGACAAAGTGCAACATAGTGTGACAAAGTGTGACAGTGTGTGACGTAGTGTGCTTAAACCACTAGTGTACTTAAACCACTAGTGTACTTGGCCCGTACATCAGCTGTGGGCTCCTCACCAAGACTTTCGGAGGCCGTAAACGCGAAGATGGCCGTTGATGAAATATATCAACAGCTGTGAGGCCCCGAAAGTTGCGGCGCGTATACGGAAAGGGCCCGCGGCTGATTTATGGGCCAAGTACTGGTGGTTTAAACTTTAAACACCCGTAGGTCCACCTGCCCCAAACAGCTACCTAGTGCAGCACTGGCAGCGTTAGGATGCTGATACCGGTATCGGTACCGCCTTAAATTTGGCAATTTCGCGGTCCCGGGTGAAAGCGGGCCTGGCAAAATGCAGTTTTTGGTTTGTCAATTTAGCTCACAGTGAGCTGGTGATTTAATGCATGAACCTGACTTAGGATGCTGACCAGGATCTTAGGAAGCTACTACACAAGCGTGCATTGTGCAGTCAGATTAAAGTGGATTGATGGCTGAAATAGCTGCCTGTTTATCTTCCTTTGAATCCTTTTCTCTTTTCTTCCGATCTTTGCTTGTTCCTCTCTGTTGTACATGTCTCCCTTCCTTCTCCCCTTCCCCCACTTCCTCCCTTTTCATTCGCAGTCCATTCTCTCCTCTGTCTCATCTAAAAGACCTACCTAATAACCCCAGTTCATCGTCCTCTGTCTCAGCCAATCGTCTTGGCCTCAGTTCATCCTCCCAAAAGTCCTAATGGATTATGCGGAAGGACGTTTCCAAAATGTCTCTCTTGAGGTTACTAGTGGTGCTTTCTGATTTTTTCACCCACCTCCTCGATGTTGCAAAGATCACGGTTCCTATCACCCACTTGATCCCGAATAGGAAGTCCCTATCACTCTTGCTAGTGCTTCTTAGCTTCGCATCTCCGTTACCTCGCATATTGCCCCAAAGGGTGGGTGGCTGTCAGAGGAGCTGAAAGAACGATCAGTGGAAAGGCGAAAGCTTATCCTGTGGTTTTGCGCCCCAAAGCAGACGGTGTGGGCTGTCATCAAAAGGAGTCCATTATGCGGATCCATATTCCCTAACCCTGTTCCAGACTTTAGCTGCTTCAGGGCAGGTGAGAAAGCAATGGGCCGTGTACTCTTTCTGCTGGCCGCTCCTCTCAAGTCGCTGCTTCTGACCTCTGCTCCTTTATTGGGG